GCTTGATGATGATCCAATCAAAAACTGTGACTGCTAGACTGTTTAACAACCCAATTGTTAGAGTGTTACAAGCTTTTTTATTTTTTAGCTCCTGTGACCTAGTTTTTGACCGACGATGACCCATCTTCGAACTTGACCTATAATATCATCAAAACAACGCTTCCTGACAAATTTCAAGAATATTTGGATGAAAACTGCAGCCACTAGAGTGTTAACAAGCTTTTTCATTTTTAGCTCCTGTGACCTAGTTTTTTGACCGGAGATGAACCCATCTTCGAACTTGACCTAGATATCATTAAACACCTTTCTGGACAAATTTCCAGAATATTTGTATGAAAACTGCAGCCTCTAGAGTGTTTACAAGCTTTTTCTATTTTTAGCTCCTGTGACCTAGTGTTTGACCCGAGATAACCCATTATCAAACTCGATCTGTATTTCATTGAGACAAACATTCTGACAAAGTTTGATGATGATCCAATCAAAACTGTGACTGCTAGACTGTTAACTACCCAATTGCTAGAGTGTTAACAAGCTTTTTCTATTTTTAGCTCCTGTGATTTAGTTTTTGACCGGATATGACCCATCTTCGAACTTGACCTAAATATCATCAAAACCTTCCTGACAAAGGGCTAGGTACGTTTTGGATCGATTTTGGCCCAAAATTTTGAAGAAATAAGATATTGAATATAAATGAGTCATTTAATGTCAGCTGACAAAGCAACATATATGCAATTAAAAACTGACGTTCCTTTGTATCGCGGCAACGTAGACGTCACGGATAACGTCAATCATCCTCTATTTCGCGCAAAATTCGCAAAAATGGGTACATTTTGGTGTGATTCTACAAATATTAGGTTTACGCACTTTTTAACCACTTAGGTTTTTACATTTTATATTACCATAAAATATTGGCTTTAAATTATCACCTACTATTTTGTGGTTACTGCTTGCGCACTTCTGTTAATTACCCAAAGTTTACACTCCGTCAGTCTGCTGTTTACATACTGGCAAATGGCGACGGGTATATATTGGTAGTAGGAGAAGCTTCAGTTCTTCAATTAATATCACTGTACATTTAAATAACAAGTATTTCTCTTTAGTGAACAATTCCAATAATATGCAATAACACTTATATTATTATATCATTTAATTATTGTAAGACGTTTAATTCAGATAGATTTTCCCCAGACATTTTAGTTATACACAAGAAATGTTGACACTCATTCACTGATTGATAAATATATGTGACCTTGTAAACACTTGCTGGCTTTGCTGGGCAAGTGTCGGCTCAAACAACTGTCTGGCATTAATTGACCCCGGCCTACATTTACCTAGCAGTTTGTCACGTACGCACGTCGGACAAAGTCTTTGTGAAGCTTCTGTGATAAATACGCCCTTTAATGATGATTGACATTTTAGCGCACCAAATGATCTCTAGCACCGGTCAATTACTTGTCTTCAGAATCAGTTTATTTAGAAGGGTGGTGTGAAAAAAATCTGAATATAGGTCATTAGTTGCGATTTTGTTTTATACATTTGTATTGAAATAATTTTACAAATTCTTCAAATGTTTGCATGGTTGCAATTATCTTGGAAGTGTCGCAATATTATTTTATTAGACCTTCGAACTCGATCTGTATTTCATTGAGACAAACATTCTGACAAAGTTTGATGATGATCCAATCAAAACCGTGACTGCTAGACTGTAAACAACCCAATTGTTGACAACGAACGACGTACGACGCCGGACGCCGGACATAGCCCCATCACTATACCTCACCTTGACCACTTCGTGGTCAGGTGAGCTAAATACAAGAGCCCGGTTTGAGCCGGGTGATGCTCCACGAATAGGTTTTGGACACAGGAAAGTACACCTCTTGTAGTTTCAGAGTTATAACCCTGGAAAAAGTTCAAAGTGCAATAATTCCAAAATTAGGCAAGGCAGAGTTACTGTTCTTTACACTGCACTTCTAATCAATGTGATCTATCAACATACAAAGTTTCTTGATGATATCTTTTATGATTTCCGAGTGATGTCCCGGACAACTTCAAAAAGTAAAAATAAACAAAGGGCAATAACTCCAGAATTAGGCAAGGCAGAGTTATGATTCTTGTGCATTGCACATCTACCTTTTGAGATATATCTACCTTCAAAGTTTCATGTTGATATCTCTTATAGTTTTACAGGTATGTCCTGGACAAGATTTTTCTAAAAGGGGAGATAATTCAAAAATGAGGCTTAACAGAGTTATGGTTATGCTCCAGACAAGACAACGGACGGACATCCGGCCGAAATGGAATTAGGGGCCGTTTCTTTTGTTATTTTCTATTGTTTAATAGAGGGCCAATGGCCCCTTACTCTATTGTTACGGAATGAACTGTATTGTTCTCTTTTGTTCTGTTTACAGTTAGATGGCCCCCTATCCCTATTCGGTAGTGCGGACAGACAGACGGACGGACAGACTGACAAGGCGCCGACTATATGCTCCCCAGAAATTTTTCAGGGAGCATAAAAATTTATACACTACACTCCTCCTAATACGCCAAATTAATATCTCCTTGCCTTCAACATCAAACCTTTGGCTCCATCGCTTGGCATTTGGCTCCACTGCTTTCGAAAAATATCGATATACAGATTAAGAAATCCACCAGGAGTAATCTATGTTGCACAAAGGACAAGTTCTTATTACGGGTTGATATTTTTCTTAAACACTTTTAAAAACATCTGAAGGGTAGAGCATTTTAATGCTTTAAAGTTCAATATTGTACAAATCGTATACTTTGTATGGATTAGTAAGTGTGTAAATTATGAAGCCATTGGTACAGGTAGAACTAATGAAAAATCCAACTTGCCGTTCTAGGTTAACCTCGTACGGACAAAAGGACGGATGTCCGGCCGAAATGGAATAAAGGGCCATTTCTTTTGTTATTTTCTATTGTTTAATAGAGGGCCAATGGCCCCTTACTCTATTGTTACGGAATGAACTCTATTGTTCTCTTTTGTTCTGTTTACAGTTAGATGGCCCTCTATCCCTATTCAGTAGCGCGGACGGACAGACGGACGGACGGTTCAATTACCATATGCCCGGGGGCATAAAAATATTTTACTGCACCAAAACTTTAATATGAAATCTGGACGCCGACGCCGCGGGGAGTAGGACAGCTCTCCATATACTTCATATAGTCGAGCTAAAAATGGAAGCCAAAGTATTGTAACTTGCCCAACTGGCCGATTTAGGTTAACCTTGTACGAACAGATCTATAAACCGTTCAATTACAAAATGTCCCGGGGCATAAAAACTTGTCTGAAAATAGAATGATTTTGTGTGAAAAACTTGCCAAATTTGCCACTCTCGGCTGTTGCATTTGTGATATTTTAACATATTAGATTATTTTTTCATGGGTTAGATAGTCCCGATAAATTTTGAAGTTTACAGGACATGATCATAGTCAATATTAACAAGCAGCATTTTACAGGGTAGCACTCTTGTCTTCCAGTGAGCAATTTGGGGCCAACATTAGCCTGTTTAGTTATTTGTCTGACAAGTTTTGGTCTATGAACATACCAACAGACAACCAACTTACTTACAGACATCATGCAAAGCAATATTCCCAGGTAAGCTTTGTGTGATAAAGGTTTAAATTGTAAATTCCTATTTTGCGCATGGCAAATATCTCCCCTCTGGAGGTTAGGTTCTGTCCTAGAACAAAAATGTTTCAGAATCTAGCTTTGACATGTCAAAATATTTAACTTTGTCTTAAATTACTTGTAAGCATGATACATGCACCAAATCTTAAGACTGTAGGTCTTAGAATTCTCAAGGTCTCGTATTTGGACAAACAGGTTGATGGACCAACCAACTATGTGCACAGAAAATTTACCACAAAATGAGTGAATAACTAAACAAAAGGGCCATCATGGCGGTCCTGAGGTCGCTCACCTGTATATAGGCCCCAGGAGCGGGGCCAGTTTAAATCCCAGGGCTTTTATTTGAACAAACTTGTTAAACACCCATAAGAAGATGTTTCATGCTAAACATCTAAGCTCTAGCGCATTGGGTTTTTTAAAAGAAGATTTTTTAAGTTTTTACTATACATATATAGTTAAAAACAATGACACCCCTAGGGCGGGGCCAGTTTTGACCCCAGGGCTTATATTTGAACAATTTTTGTAGACACTTACTAGAAGATGTTTCATGCTTAATATCTAAACTCTGGCTATTTGGGTTTTTTCAAAGAAGATTTTTAAGTTTTTGCTATACACATTTAAGGAAAATCAATGACCCCCAGGGCGGGGCCTATTGACCCCAGGGCTTTTATTTGAACAATCTTTGTAGACACTCACTAGAAGATGTTTCATGCTTAATATCTAAACTCTAGCTATTTGGGTTTTTTCAAAGAAGATTTTTTAATTTTTGCTATACACATAAAAGGAAAATCAATGACCCCCGGGGCAGTCCAATTTTGACCACAGGGCTTTTATTTGAACAAACTTGGTAGATACCTATTAGAACATGTTTCATGCTAAATATCTTAGCATTAGCTCTTAGAGTTCTTTAAAAGAAGTTCTTTAAGTTTTTACTATCTGCATATAGGGAAAATCAATGACCCCCTGGGGCGGGGCCAATTTTGACCACAGGGCTTTTATTTCAACAAACTTGGTAGACACTCACTAGAAGATGTTTCATGCCAAATATCTTAGCTCTAGCTTTTGGGGTTTTTTAAAAGAAGATATTTAAAGTTTTTTCTTTCGGTTGCCATGTCAACCAGCGTTCTGCATGGAATTAAATTCGTTTAACAATTTTTAAAGGTGACCACCAGAGGAACATTCCTCTGAAATTTGGATGAAATTGGCTTAGTGGTTTATGAGGAGATGTCATTTAAAGTAAAAGTTTACGGACGGACAGACGCCGGACGCCGGACGAAAAGCGATCACAAAAGCTCACCCTGTCACTTTGTGACAGGTGAGCTAATAAAAATCAAAGCAAACTAAAACTTACATATAACTTGGAACGTCAGCAGATCACTTTCATAAGAAGACAACCCAGTAATAGAGCTTCCAGATTCTGAAGCACTACACGTAAAGCGTGTGTTAGCATCTTCTTTACTTACAGCCTTTATAGTCAACTGATTTCTTGATGTAGAATAAACATACTTGTTACTGTTAGAAGGATTGGTGACATTATTTACTTTCCAGTTGTAGACAAGGTTTAGTGTATGATTTGTTGGGTATGTTGTTGATAAACTGTTGCAAGTCAATCTGCTGTCTCTTCCAAGAATGTTATTGTTGTCTTGAGTTATTGTTGCTTTTTTTGGCTTTCCTATATGTAATAAGAATTGTTACATTTTCTTTTATTAAAAACTTCTTTTCCTCAACACAAAATTGTTCATTTTAAAACCAATTCTTTTTATGTCATTATAAATAAATAAATATATCATCATAATAATTATCAAATGGCGTTAAAATTATTATATACATGTAAAGCTGTCACTTAGAAATTTTCTTCTTAAATATATGTTATTCATAAACACCACTCTTACAGTTTACATGCACCTTGAACTTAAATGGCATTTGAACTGATTGTAACAATGTTACATCAGGATTGATGTAGCTTGAATAGGCCAGAATAGCTAGAACTTTGAACTAGTAACAAAAAATCAATAGTCATCTTATAGTTATGAAGAAATCAATATTAGAAATATGAAGACTTTGTGATAAATAACTTTCAAGATAATGAGCGGAAACCATACTAACATTCAAGAACCCTGTGACCTTGACCTTTGACCTAGTGACCCCAAAATCAATAGGTTCACCTACTTCAATCAGTATGTGAAAAATGAAGACTTTGTGATGAATACTTTTCAAGATAATTAGCGGAAAACATTCTGACATTGAAAGCCCCTGTGACCTTGACCTTTCTCCTAGATCAATAGGAGTCATCTACTAGTTCTGACCAATCAATATGTGAAATATGAAGACTTTGTGATGAATACTATTCAAGATAATCAGCGGAAACCATTCTGACATTTAAGGCCCCTGTGACCTTGACCTTTGACCTAGTGACCCTAAAATCAATAGGGGTCATTTACTAGTTATGACAAATCAATATGTGAAATATGAAGACTTTGTGGTGAATACTGCTGAAACCATTCTGACATTTAAGACCCTTGTGATCTTGACCTTTGACCTAGTGACCCCAAAATCAATAGGAGTCATCTACTAGTTATGACAAATCACAATGTGAAATATGAAGACTTTGTGATGGACACTTTTCAAGATAATCAGCGGAAACTTTTTTGACATTAGATGTTGAAATATGATTTTTTTTCAAAACGGCTTATATCAATTTTTTTTGATATACTGTATGATCAGTACATGTGCTGGGATTGACAAATATGCATTTTATTTGGATTTTAAAGGCGTTTTGAGCTCCAAACCCCAAGTGTCTGTGGTCCAATTACGCTTTGAGCCATCAATATTTGAATCAATTTCAATGTAAAAAAAGAGGTTAAATGATTTTTTAAGTACATTATAAATATCAAATATTTTCTTGTTTGAAAGTAGAAATAAATGAATGTGTTTCAAAGAAATTAATATTTCATTACAAAAATACCTAAAATATATAGTTTCAAGCACTCCAAAGTAGACAAAACTCCTGTTCCTTCTTTATATTGAAGTAAATACATTCCACCATCATCTTGTTTTACAGCAGCAGTCTTTATTGTAAAATTCCCTATACCAGCATTGCCAATAAATTCTGAGCCTAAATATACATTTTCACTCTTGAAAACATTTTTGTAGAAAGTTGCAGCATAAAGATTGTCTCCCTTGTGGTTTGTCACACTATACACCAGCGTCCGATGATAATTTCTCAAAGTTGTCTGAAAACCTATGACTGCCTGTTCCCCAGTTTTTATATAAGAGCTCCGATTGACTTGATTGGTCGGACACTGCCATCCATTAACTGGAAATAAAAAATATGATGTAATTGAATGACTGGACATGTCATTTTAGAACTAGGATGTCCACCGGAACCTGATTTTTAAGTTGGAAAGTATTACCTTTTATACCTTGGCTGTCACTCTGATTTTAAATTACTGAGAAATATACAAGTATGAACTGAATAAAAATTCTTTTAACCCTTTCTTCTCATAAGCACCTCACAAGTGCCTAGACACACACTATTGTCATTAGGCTTTCTGAAATAGACGTTTAAAGGTATTTCTATTTTTAGCTTTAGTGGCCCCTAAAAGGGGCCAATCAAAATAATATGTGCAAATTTGATAAAAGACTACATAAGAATGCTACAGATAAAGTTTAGTGATCATCCATCAATTAGTTCTTTAGAAGAAGATGTTCAAAGGTTTTTCTATTTTAAGCTCTGTTGACCACTAAACGGGGCCAATTGAAATGACATGAGCAAATTCAAGTGTGACTGTCACAAGGATGCTACAGACCAAATTTAAAGTAAATCTGCACAGCAATTTCAGAGAAGAAGATGATTGTTGACGCATGATGACGGACTATGTACGCCGGAGCATCCCCCTTTGAAACTAATAGCTCACCCTGAACCTTCGGTTCAGCTGAGCTTAAAAACAAAATTAAAGAATATACAAGAGTCATGTCAACATGACCATCCCCCGCCGAATGTGTTTGCTCATTGGAAGAATGTATATGTAGAAGAGCAGAATAATTCAATTTTAAGAGGTCTTTTGGTAATGAAAACTGATGGCTGAAGTGATTACAGATTTGAAACCTATGTGAATACTGATGACTGAAAATAACAAAGGGCAATAACTGAAAAATAATGCAAGGTAGGTTTTCATTCTTGTGTGATGCACCCCTCCTCAGTAAAATCTTTCCACCTATGAAGTTTCAAGTTGATACCTCAAATACTTTAGAAATAAGCTCCGGACAAAATAGTATGAAAAAGAACAAAGGGCAATAACTCAAAAATTATATAGCGAAGAATTATCATTCTTGCGCACAGCATTTCTCCTCAATAAGATTTATCCACCTATGACATTTCATGCTCCACTCAGGTGAAAAATTAAGTATGAAAATAACAAAGGGCAATAACTCAAAAATTATGCAGGGTAGAGTTATCATTCTCGTGCACTGCACTCCTCCTGAGTGAGATCTATCCACCTATGAAGTTTCATGTTGATATCTCAAAGGCTTTTTGAGTAATGCTCTGGACAAAAATTAATTCTGAACAAGATTGCATTTGAGAAAAATGCTATGCCACCGCATGATTAAAATTTCATAGCTGTACATCAAAGGACAAGAAAGTAGGTCACATCATCAAAATCTAGGTCAAAGTTCAATTTTACAACTAAAACTGTGCACATGGTCAAAATGTCATTGCTGTACGTCAAAGGACAAGAAAGTAAGTCACTGTCCCCTTGGGCAAGGCATTATTTTGACCCAAGGGTTTAATAACAATCTTGATACAGGTCCACCAAACAACAGTTCAAGACAAATATCTAAGCTATAGCTTTCTCCGATTCAGAAAACATTTGTTTTATTTTCTGTTTTTACTGCGTGTGCATAATGAAAGTCAGGGCAGGGCAATTTTTGATATTTGAAAAACTTTGGTAGAGGAACTATAGATGATATTATATATCAAACATCAAAGCTCTATGCCTTGAACTCTAAACGACAATTTTTTTTTTCACTATATGTACATAATGAAAATCAATGACCCCCGGGGCGGAATCAATTTTGACCCCAGGGCTATAATTTGAACAATCTTGCTAGAGGTTCACTACACCATGTTTCATGCAAAATATCTTAACTCTATCCTTTGTAAATTTAGAGAAGATGATTTTTTAAGTTTTAACTATATACATATAAGATAAACCTATGGCTCCCAGGGGCGAGGCTAATTTTGACACAAGAGGCAAAATTTGAACAACTTTGGTAGAGTACCTTTATATGATATTATTTAACAAATATTAAAGCTCTAAGCCTTGTACCTTCAGACAATAAGATTTTATTATTTTTTACTATATGTATATATTGAAATCAATGACCCCCAGGGCGGGGGCAATTTTGACCCCAGGGCTACAGTTTGAACAATCTTGCTAGAGGTTTACAACACAATGTTTCATGCAAAATATCTAACCTCTAGCATTTGTCAATTGCTAGAAGATTTTTTTTTAAGCTTTTACTTTATACATATAAGGAAAACCAATGACCCCTGGGGCGGGGCCAATTTTGACCCCAGGGCTATAATTTGAACAATCTGGGTAGAGGTCTACCAGACAATGCCTTATGCAAAATATCTAAGCTCTAGGCCTTTTGGGTCTTTACAAGAAGGTGTTTTAAGTTTTTACTATATGTACATATAGCGAAAATCAATGACCCCGGGGCGGGGCCGATTTTGACCCAAGGGCTATAATTTGAACAATCTTGGTAAGGGTATACCAGATGATGCCTTATGTAAAATATCTAAGCTCTAGGCCTTTTGGGTTTTTACAAGAAGGTATTTTAAGTTTTTACTATATGTACATAGTGAAAATCAATGACCCCCGGGGCGGGGCCAATTTTGACCCCAGGGCTATAATTTGAACAATCTTGTTAGAGGTCTACCAGACAATGCCTTATGCAAAATATCTAAGCTCTAGGCCTTTTGGGTCTTTTTAAGTTTTTACTATATGTACATATAGCGAAAATCAATGACCCCGGGGCGGGGCCGATTTGACCCAAGGGCTATAAATCGAACAATCTTGGTAAGGGTCTACCAGATGATGCCTTATGCAAAATATCTAAGCTCTAGGCCTTTTGGGTTTTTACAAGAAGGTATTTTAAGTTTTTACTATATGTTCATAGTGAAAATCAATGACCCCCAGGGCGGGGCCAATCTTGACCCCAGGGCTATAATTTCAACAATCTTGTTAGAGGTCTACCAGACAATGCCTTATGCAAAATATCTAAGCTCTAGGCCTTTTGGGTCTTTACAAAAAGTTTTTTTAAATTTATTCTTATAATTCCTTTTGGTTGCCATGGCAACCAGATTTCTGCATGGAATGAAATTCTTTGAACAACTTTGAAAGCCCTTCACTCAAGGAACAATCCTGCCAAGTTTGGTTGAAATTGGACTTGTGGTTTTTCACAAAAAGATTTTTTAAGTTCACTATATAATCTATATAACACACACACAAACACACACACACAAACACACAGGTGAATCGCTATATGCCACCGAATTGCAGATGCTGCGGTGGCATAAAAATATAATGAAAATTCAATCTTTTGACAATCAATTTCATACAAGGTCAAGGTCAAATCTAAATTATTCCATGTCTGTTTCATCACGTATAATGTTGTTTTGTCTACATATGAATTAAATCCATACATAAATAACAGAGTTATTATTACTTTACTGTCAAGGTCATTGAAAGCTCAAGTTCAAGGTCAGTTCATCCTTTTAGAATATCTTGTCCAAGATGTTGTTTTGTCCAAGTATGAAAAATAATCCATTGATGAATTACAAAGTTACAGCCAATTATACAATGTAACTATAATTAATGAAAATGAAATAATTTGACCGTCAAGGTCATACATGTAGTAAGATCAATTTGAGTTTGATATACATGAAGGTCCTCACCTAAAAGATGTTGTGTCTTAATATGAAGTTAATCCATTAATGACAATTTCTACGTCAATTTAATCTAACTTATTAAACATGTTTGTTTGGTGGCAAGTCTTTTTTTGTCCAAATTCAAATCAAGTTCATATATAGATCAGAAAATTATGACAATTTAACCAAAACTCAATAGTTTGACCTAGAGAGTCAAGGTTCTTTAAAGTTCAAGATCAAGGTCAGTTCAATGTTTTTGAAGGTTTGTCCAAAATGTTGTTTCATCAAAGTATGAAGATAATCCATTTATTTACCAAGTTGAAGACAGTTATAGCAAAAATCAGTCAAACTTTAATAATTTATTCTTCAAGGCCAAGGTCATAAAAGAGATATGGTCAATATAAGTTTAATATTCATGAAATTCTTATACTAACGAATGTTCTATAATAATTATGAAATCAGTCCATTCAATAATAACAAATTATAGCCAGTTACAGCAAAGATTTTCAATAATTTGATCTTCAAGGCCAAGGTCATTTATCAGTAAAGGTGAAGGTTTAACTAGTTAACTTGAACATCTATCCTAAAATATTATAATATTAAAGTTTGTAAACAATCCGTTCTAAAATAACAATTTTATTGCCACTTATAGTAAAAAAAAATGCAAAATTTAGATATTTGACATTGAAGGTCAAGGTAATTACGAATGAAAACAAAGTTAGTCTAGTCTACTTTAAGGTCTTGTCCCAAGGGTTGTTGTGGCAAAGTATAAAGACAATACACCAATAGTTATAATCAAAGTGCAAGCTTACAAATGGCAATAGCAATGCCAAAGGGACTGTAACAATACCTCTATTTTATTGTTTTTTCAAACACAAAAAAAAATGTCCAGCTAAAAAACCCAAAAGGGCAAGAGAGTCTGCAGTTCCAGTGGAAATAATAAACAATCTCCTAAGTCAGATAAAACGAATAATTTGTGTTATATTGATTCAAATAGCAATATAATTGATATGATGTCATTAACTCTCAAGGGAATACTCAAAGTCCATTTACGGACTTTCGTCATGATGATGGCTCTACCATTTGCCATGTAGCTTTGGAAAATCAAAATTTTCAATGGAACTAGAACTCCGCGAGTTGGATGTGTTGCCTAGTGAACAGTATAGCTGTCACTTTTTAATAGATATTTTCTTCTTAAATATATGTTATTCATAAACATCGCTCTTACAATTTACATGTACCTTGAACTTTAAGAGCATTTAAACTGATTGTAACAATGTTACATCCCGATTGATGAAGCTTGAATAATAGCTTTTATTGTGTAGGTTAATTGGCCCGCACAAAAATTAAGTATTAACATAAACAAACGGCAATAACTC